CCACCACCACCCCCTGCAGACACCCACACTTATCGTATATGGAGCTCTAGACAAAGGCCTGGCCCAGGAGTCTCTGCAGAAGCTTCGATACCTCCCCAACCACTCAACAGTGAAGTTGCAGGATGCTGGCCATGCTTGTTACCTCCATCAGCCCCATGACTTCCACAACGCCCTGCTGACCTTCCTGGACAAGCTGCCCTGAAGGCTGCATCTCTGTGATGACCCTCCTGTCTCTGGGTGGAGCAGGGTGGGCCCAGGAATCCCCGGAGACTGGGGTAGGGTTCAGCGGACCTTCGCAAGACAATGCATGCCAGTACCACAGAGGTAGACAAGGCTGAAGGCTGGTGGAACTGGGAACTTGTGGTTGCCCTCTAGGGGCCTCGCCAGCCCCCGCTCACTTGGACTTAAATAAATGAACTTTGTCTGCTTCCAGGGCATACATCCTGTTTGGGGTCGGGGAGGGCATGAGGTGGAGGGAAGGGTGTGAAGGAAGGTTAGACTAGGAGACAGTTCACCCCATTCCCATCCAGCATCTGACTTGGAGTTGTTTGGGGTTCTGAGGATGGGGGTGTGATGAACTAAGGCAGCGAGTCCTGGATCGAAGAGGCTTCTGCCCTTACCTTGCTGTGTGTTCCTGGCAAAGTCCTTTCACCCATCTAGACTGGTTTCTTCGTCTATAAAAGGAGGAGGTTGGAATCACAGACTCTTGGAGCTGGTATACGCTCCAGCAGCTGTCTAGAACAACTCACACCCCTGAAAGAATCCCTTCTACAACATAACTAAGAAGGCTTTATCTAGTCTTCAGGGGTGGGGCACCTGAGGCCTCGAAGCCACATGTGGCCCTCCTAAGTCCTAAAGTGCGGCCCTTTCACTGAATCCAAACTTCACAGAACAAATCCCCTTAATAAAAAGATTTGTTCTGTAAAACTTGGACTCAGTCAAATGGCCACACTCGAGGACCTAGAGGGCCATGTGTGGCCTCAAGGCTGCAGGTTACCCACCCCTGATCTAGTCTAAGGTCTTCTAAGGAAACTCCCAAGACTGGCCATCTGAGGTTATGTCTATTATTCTATTCTCACGACAATCTTGCAAGGTAGGTGCTGTTATTATCCCCGTTTCACCAATCAGGAAACTGAGGCTGAGAGAGGTTTGAAGTGATTTGACCAGAGTCACGTAGCTAGGAAGCAGCAGATGCAGTGTTTGAACTCTTCTTCCTCCTGCTTAGATGAACAGCAGCTGAAGGCAAGGGCCTGTGACCCCACAGAGAAGGCTGATTAGAGCAATTTATAGGATTCTTCATACAGGGCACCCAAAGGATAGCCTTATCTCTATCTCAGATCAAGTACGGGATCAGGAGACTGCTAAGGGATGCTGGCCATGTCTTTTATGTCCAGGACCCCCAAAGACACGGACCAGCCCTCACAGATGACCCCCAATTTCCCTCAGCTTCCATTAATGACTAGAGAAGCAAGGAGACCTTGGAGGGTGGGGGGGGCAGTTAGAAGGGGCCCTGTAGTCTGGGCCAGGAGAAGCTGGGAGGGAGGGAGTAGCCTTGCATCCCTGCCTATGCCTTCTTTTCTCCTGTCAGTGTGTCCAGGCTCCCAGGACCAAGCTTCCTCTGACCAGGCTTCTGAAAATGAAGCTTGTGAGACCCTGCATACCATGGATCAGGGCAGGGCCTGTGAAGGAAAGAGGTTGGAGGGAGTGGGGCAGAGTGAGACCTGATCTCTGAGGCTCTGTTCTCCTCTGGCTTGTGGTTCTGTGGCTTTTGGCTGGGATACTCCTGTTGGGTGAATGGGGTGGTTGACCTCACGTTGCATGCTCAATAGAGTCTGAGGAACCAGGGGAGAGAGGATTGGGACAAACAAGCTCTGGACTTGAAAGTGGGGGAAAGATCAGGGTAAGTGAATCATTTCAGGCCCATTTTGAACCCTAGACTGTGGTGAGTGGGTGAGTATCTTCCCTGCTTCTACCCTCTACAAGCACACAAAACTGCCCTGAGAAGCATGCCCAGCTCTTGAGTGGAAGCACGCACAGGAGCCGTGGGGGAGCTGACTCAGCACCTGGCACAGGGAAAGGGTGGGGGTAGGGGATGGGAAGTGAGTTCAAAGGCCTCCCATTGTAAACTGGCTGTCCAGAGAGAACAAACGGCACTTGTGGTCCCATGTTGAACACGCCAGCATACACTCTTGCACACATCCATGTGCTCATTTCCACTAGGGTCACAGAGCCTGGTGGCACCTGGTCCAAAGAGAATGCCCTTATCTTGATCTTGGTTCAGGCTATCCCAGAGTCATTCAGAGTGGGATGCCCCACCCAGCCACACCTGCAGGGGACCATGGGCAGTAAGTCTTGCCCAGGAAGCTTTCTTGTTAGATAGCAACACAGTTATCCTCAATAAACACTTACGCACATATACATGATAGAATTTATACGAATTTAAAGTTTGCAAGCATTTTATGAATAGCACATTTGATCCTCAGGACCACCTTGGGAAGTAGGTGCTATTATTATCCTTTTTTTATTTTTTAACAGAAGAGGAAACTGACAGGATTAAGTGTCTTGTCCAGGGTCAAAGATCCAATCAATGTTACATATACTTGGTGACAGTGTGTGTGCATCACACAACTATACCTATTCCCGGGCCCTCCTATGCTGCCTGACGAAGTGACAAGACAGTTTGACAATATTGTAGGCTATACCCTGTACAGTGTTGATAGTGGGAGGTGCTATTTCCGACCAATGCCAAAATCACACACATATACAAGCATTAAGAACCTGTTATGTGGAAGGTACTGTATTAGCCCCAGGGGACAAAAAGAATGAAAATAGCTCCTTCCCTTAAGGAGTTTACAGTCTGTTAGGAGAGGAGGTTGAGAATTGGAAACAAGTGCACAGATGAGTAAATGTAAGGAATATACAATACAATACAAAGTAATTTAAAGAGGGAGAATGTTTTTTGTTTTTTGCTTTTTTAAAAGGGGGTGGGAGATCCAGAGAGGCCTGGAGTAGGAGATGGTACCTAAGCTGTACCTTGGAGGGAGCTAGCCATTGGAAGAGGCAGTGGTAAGGAGGAAGTGCATTCCATGGGAGGACTACCTGTATAAAGGTACAGAGAAAAAAATGTCTTCATGGGGACCTGAGAGACCAGTTTGCGGGTTGGGGCAAGGCTTGGCAACTGATTGATTGGATATGGGTGATGAGGGAGAGGGAGAAGTCAAGGATGACTCCAGGATTTCACACCTGAGTTCCTGGAGGGTTGATTGGTACCCTCAACAGAAATGGGAAGTTTGGAGGAAGGAGAGCTTTGGGGGACATAGTAATGAGTTCTGGTTTGGAAATGTCTAATGTGACATGCTTACCAGGTATTCAGGAGATGTCCAGCACGCAGTTGGTGATACAGGACGAGTTCAGGAAGGAGATAGGAGTTGGGTATATAAATTTGGGAAACCTCTGCAAAGAGATCATTATTTTTTTAATAGTGGAAATCTTTTTTTTTTTTAATTTTTTTACACTTACAAAAGAAACCAATTGTATTGACATATCAAAATATTTTTAAAACAAGTTCAAAGACCCCAACAATTTAAATCCCCACTATGGATACAAACAAATAAGTAGATGATAGGCCATTTTGAAAACAAGAAGCCAATTTTACGTTCATATATAGAAATTAAATGTAAAGTAGGTAGATGGCACAGTGGATAGAGTGCCGGTCTGAGATCATTACCGAGCCCCGGTGAGCCAAGGGAGAGAGAGTATGAGAAAGGAATCCAACACAGTGCTCCGAGGAGAAGCCCAAGGTTACAGTGTCACGGCGACATGGTTACAGTGTCCCTACTGTCATGGTGACATAGATGTGGGAGATAGAGCTATGCTCACACAGATCTTCACTGGGGATGTCGCGTCCCTGTGTCCCGCCTCTCGGACTGCCCAGGGGCGGGGTCTGCCGGGGGGTGGGGTGGGGTGGAGTCTCTCCCAATACAGGGACAACCCGGGGTCAGGCTGGACAGATTGGATTGCCGGGACTGGAGTGGCTGCTGGGGATCTTGGCGCCGGGGTAATGGTTGGGGGTGGGGGTGGGGGCTGGAGAGAGGAGCCCAGCGGGGCAGTGGGCCGGGTCGAGGCGGCCATCGCAGCAGCCTGCTTCCGCAGGCCTCCACGTGCCGCCGAGGGTCCCCGCTGCCCCCTGAGCCTGGGACTGCGCTGCGGGTGGCGGGGTGGCGCCAACCTGCTCGGGCCAGATGTGCTGCCATGGGTGGGACCCAGATGTTATGGCTTCAAACCGCCGGCTCAGGTTTTTAGACTGAGCCCAGGGTTGGGGGGTGGAGGATTTATTGGAGCTGGAAGGATTGGCGGCCCTGAGGCAGCAGAGAGAGGTGGGAGGGCACTGGGCGAGGGTGGGAAGGCACCCTGAGGGTCTGTGAGAATAGGAAGGGAACCTTGGCCTCTCCTGGGGAAACAGAGGTCTGAGCCAGCCACTGTGGGGAGTAAAGAAAGGATGAGGGACCCGGGTGGAACCGAGGGAGACTGAGGGGAAACGGGGACCTGCAGGCTTCCAGGGGAGCAATCAACAAGTGTTTGTTAAACATTTACTATGTGGTTGTAGGTTGGGGTTAGGAATGGGGTAAGAAGACGTTTTGGGTCCCTGCAGGAATGGAGAGAGGCCTGAAGGATTTTGTAGAGAGGAATACAGACCCTGTTAGAGTGGAAAGTGGTCAGAGAGGCTCCACGGCCAAGGTACCTAGGTGGCTCAGTGGATAGATAGACTGTTGGGCTTGAACTCAGGAGGACTGATCTTCCTGAGTTCAAATGCAGTCACAGACACTTATTAGCAGTGTGACCTGGGTGAGTCACTTAACCCTGTTGGCCTCAGTTTCCTCATCTGTAAAATGAGCTGGAGAAGGAAATGGCAAACCCCTCCAGTATGTTTGCCAAGAAAACCCCAAATGGAGTCACAAAGAGTTGGACATGACTGAATAACAACAGGGAGAGGTTGGAGGCGCTTCCTGGGGCAAGGAATTGCAGTGGTCTTTCTGGAGGAAGGCTGAAGTTGGGTTGGTTTGATCTAGAATGTAGGAGTCTGAGATGGTTTCTCCACTACTGGGCAAAAAAGGAAGTTGATCTTTGGACCTACTCACTGCATGGGCTTCCTGCCTTAACAGGTTATAGGCCCAAGAGACCAAGGTCTTGGGTTCCTTTGTTTGGTATATGGGAACCTCTGGGGTATAGGGGGATGGTACTTGGACCCTTGAAAGCTAGCTGGAGTGGTCTCCAAAGAACTGCTAACATTCTGTCTTACCATCCAGCAGGGAAAGGAAGCAAGGCATCCAGGACTACTATGCCTGGCCAAGACCACCACCAGCTCTCAGAGGGGGAGCATCCAGCTGTGACACTGTTTCGCCAGTACCTCCGAATCCGGACTGTGCAGCCAGAGCCCAGCTATGGTGAGGAAGCTCTGATGACGGTCCCTTGCAGGAGGCACTATGTCTCTGAATGAGTTGGGGATAAGACCTCCTAAGTATGAATGCTAAAACATCAGCTTCTCACTGACTACAGACATCAAGCTTTCACAGCCCCATCTTGGTTGGTCCAGTAACTGAAGGAATGGTGTATCAGACCTCTGAAATTTAGAACCTGACATAGACTCTGCCCCTTGTTGACCCTGGACTGGGGCAAGGACCCTGGGGAGAAAGAAGTCCCCAGCCAGATTCTGGAATGGGATGGGTTCTTGTCTCCTCTCCTTTTCCCATCCCACCAGAGTTTCTCTTTCCCCTGCAGATGAAGCTGTGCTTTTTTTGGAGAAGATAGCCAAGGACTTGGGCCTTGAGTGTCAGAAGGTGGAGGTAAGGGGGAGGGGGGAATCTATGACCTGACCAGGGGCTTGGGTGTTAGAAGGTAGAGGTAAAGGGAGGGGGTAGGGGGAATTGTGCTCTAAGCTGAGGCGGAGAGCCAGCAGGGTTCCAAGGACTGGAAGTGGGAAATTTCTTTCTCATGTTCTCTTTAATCCTCTACAATCCTTCCACCATTTTTTCCTTTTGCCAGGTGGCTCCAGGTCGAGTAGTGACTATATTGACCTGGCAAGGCACAGATCCCAGCCTCCGTTCTCTTGTGCTGAACTCCCACACCGATGTGGTGCCTGTCTTTGAGGTAGATGTCTGGGGGGCCAGAGATGGGGGTGGTAAAGGACTCTAGTGACATGTCTTCCACAGTTCCTGGTCATGCAGCAAGGTCCAGCACCTTTTACCTCCTCAAAGAAGCCTTTCCTTATCACTCAACAAGTAATCGGCAAGTAAGCACAGCTAGTGATAAGTACCTATTTCTGTTTGAAGGCTTAGCATGGACTATTCCTCTCAACCACCTCCTGGAATAGGTTGTGGAAATAGGATCCCCATTTTACAGATGAGGCTTAGAAAGGATTAAAAATTTGTCTATGGTCACTGAGTAGGTGTCAAAGCTGAGACCTGAAATCAGGTCTTTCAACTTTGGGAAGATAACATGGTCCAAGAGCTCATAGCCTGGTTGGTGGGGACAAGATAGAGGAGAGTATGGGAGACAATAAGAATGGCTGTAGGAGCTGATAGGTAAGATGCCAGTGAGCTGGGGTTGTAAGCATGGGCTTTCTGGAGGCAGCACCACTTAACTTGGAATGTTTGAAGTTTGGGGGAACAATACTGATGACAACAGGTAAGTGATGTGAGTCTGACTTTTGCCAAGCTCTATGTGCATTTCTTCATTTGAGCCTCACAACAGCTCTGTGGAGGAGGCACCGGGGCTCTTATCCCTACTTTCCAGTGTCACAATCCTCAATAGCTCCACACTGACCACTGAGCACAGATTTAAAGGCAGAAGGGACCTTGGAGGTCATCTAGGCCAATTCCCTCACTTTACAGATGAGGAAACTGAGGCCCAGAGAGATTTGGTGGCAAGGTCACACAGAGTGAAAGGTTAGGACTTGAACCTGGGAACTCTGAGTGCAAATGCAATATCCATCTACACTGCTCCACCGCCTCCCCTGCTGTGTTGTTTCTAAGATAAAACACAAAGTTGTGTGCATGGCATTGAAAGCTCTCTGAAAATTGGTTCCACTTATCTTTCCCCTAGTCTCATTTCACATTCATCCTCTTCACATATCCTACGCTCCCCATACCCAATATTCCATTTTCTCCCTCCATGCCTTTGCCCAAGTGGCTCCTTTGTTGAGGGGGGGAATGCACTACCCTCTCATGGCTATCTCTTCAAATCTCTAGCTTTCTCTAAAGCATATCTCTGGGGCCACCTAAATGAGGTCATTTCTTTCTTTTTTTTAGGCAATTGGGGTTAAGTGACTTGCCCAGGGTCACACAGCTAGTAAGTGTCAAGTGTTTGGTCTGAGGCCAGATTTGAACTCAGGTCCTCCTGACTTCAGGGCAGGTGCTCTATCCACTGGGCCAACTAGCTGCCCCCGTGAGGTCATTTCTTGATGTCCCAACTTGTGGAGTGTTTTCTCCTCTTCATATATATATTTTATTATATATTATATATTATCTCATTATATATATATATATATTACCTCATATATTTTTTATTTAATTTTCTTTATATATGGTATATTTGGCCCAGGAGAGTGTCAGCTCCTTTGAGGACTCTTGTTTTTGCCTTTGAATCTCTAGTGCCTTGCATATATATTTGACACTTAATAAATGCTTAATTGAAATGAGGGGTTAAGTGACTTGTGCAAGATTATAAAGCTAGAATGTGTCAGAGGCCAGGCCTGTCCGCTGCTCTTCCTGGGAACCATGTGAATGAAGGCTGTGGAAGAAGGAAGCCACTTAGGGTGTACAGAGGTCAGAAAGGAAACTGCTCTGGATCGAGGGGTGGGAAGAGCTGGGAATGGTTTAGAGAAGGGGTGTTGTTAAATGTGGGATGGGGATAGGGCAGATGCCTTGCCATCACTGAAGTACATGAGACACGTAATCAGATCAAGGCACACAGTGTGAGAGCTGGTGGGAAGAGTTCTGGTGGAAACAGAACTGTTAGGGAACAGTGAGTTTCAGGTTGCTCTGGAGGCCTAGCAATCCAGGGAGGCTTCCTGAAGGAGGGGGGCATTCAAGGGGCCACTTTTTGTTATGAGTGGCAGATTGGAGAAGCAGATGACCCCTAGCATGGGGGAAGGGTATTCTGGGCAAGTCACAAGAATGAGATTGGACAAGACCAAGGTGAGCAGGAACTCTCCATCCAACCCTGCGCTCTTTTTGTCCTCAGGAACACTGGAATCACGATCCCTTTGAAGCCTTCAAGGACACCCAAGGGAACATTTATGCTCGGGGTGCTCAAGACATGAAATGTGTTGGCATTCAGTGAGTCCCTGAACCCACAGCCACTGGGGAGACTGGACACTTCCATATCTCTCCTTCTCTCTCGACATGGCCCCCTCTCCTTTTCTGGGCCATGGTTTCCCTGTTTGGCCAGTAGAGGACCAGAAGAGTGAATCATGGAATCTGGGAGTCAGAAGGGATTTCAGAGATCACTGAGTCCCGTGCTATCTGCACAGCTTCTTTGCTCATGTGCCTTCCAGCTGTCAGTCAGTCTTTGGTCTGAAGTATGTAGCATTCCCTCGAGCTCAGCTTGAGTCTAGATCTTTAGGGAACTCAAGGCTTCCCTGGGGAGACAGCTCTTTTCTTTTGGAGATGATAGTGCAAATTCTTAGAGATATCTCCAAGCTCTGCCTTCCTGACTGGGCCAGGCAGAACCAGTCTGATCTGCCTTCCACAAGACAGTGCCTCTAATACTGTCAATTATGTCCCTCCTGAGTCTTCTTCAGATTAATTTTAAAAATAGCTAGTACTTATATAGCATCTATGTGTCAGACACTGTGCTAAGTGCT